TCAACTTCTTTGTGCTCAGAACATTTCAAAACAGAAGACATGCGAAAAAACGTGGGCAGGTCGCTGGAAATTGGTGAAAGGTTTATAATGTTTGTACGGTTGTTTTGTTGCTTGGATACCAAAAGAAAATGGAGCTTTGATTTTCGGTATTGTAGTGTTTATGCTGGGATTTTTTTCTCCTTATTAAAAAGGTGACATTTATATTTCTTTGTGCACTGTGGTCTTATACGATATCTGTGAACGGAATGTAAAATTATAAAATTGTAATGTAAAATTAAAATGTAAAATTATAAATTTATAAAATGAGGAGTTTAATTATTATATATATGGGCAGAACCATCTCGATTTAACTGGTCAGTACCGAAAAACTATGGAAAATGCCTGCTAAAAGGGTCCTGGTAGCAACTGTGACAACTCAAGGAGAGTCATTTGAAGTTGAACAGGAATTATTCCACCAAGAAGTTAAAGCACCTGTGTCAACTGTCAATGCTGCTTCGCCTTCACCAGCTCAAATTTAATGCTCAAATTTAATGCTCAAATTGATTTAGGTGTAATATTTCCTTACATTAAGAAATATTAGTATTAATGTTGTTAGTATTCAGGGAAAAAAGATGATGTTAGGCTTGTGAAATCAAGATAAGGAACCATTGTACATTGTGTAAATAAAGGAAGTGATTGGCATGACAATAAAATGCGAGTTAAACTATGTCTTTATGGGAAGGAGCTTCAAAATTCTATTCTTCAAACATAACATTTCGAAGAGCCCATTGACAATAATTAACATATTATTCACAGATAAAAAAATAAACAGTTCTGTACAGTCTAAAATAATCCTAGTTTTGCATATTGAGCATACTCTTGCAGTATATTCTTGTGAACGAGTTCTTGTGCTGGAAATGGGAAAGGTTCTTTTAGTTCCACATAGAGGAGATTAATCCATGTAATGCAGATTCTGGACACCAGGCTTGTGCTGATCCCAAATCTATCAGCAAGATCTTGTACAAATAACCCAGCCTTTAGTCTCATAACTATGAGCAAAAATTCATCCAAGAATGACAGTTTCTTGAAGGCCCCGGCTTATTTCTGTTATCATCTATTTGGTATGGCTGACTCTCTTTCAACAGTTTCCCTTCTTTCAGGTACTGTATCTTTGCCAGCATTGGTTCAATAAAATTGTAGAAGCTTATGAGTGCTCCATAGTTTGGGAATCCATCCCTCTCATTTTCAACTTCACTTAGTTTTTCTTTCAAGTCAGCTAATTGTACTTGCAGTAGCTCCATTTCCCATTGCAGCTTAAGGACATCTGATTGTTGCAAGGCTGGTGAAGATGAAGCAGCATTGAAAGTTGACACAGCTGCTTCAACTTCTTGGTGAAAGAATTCCTGTTCAACTTCAAATGACTCTTCTTGAGTTGTCACAGTTGCTACTGGGACCCTTTAAGCAGGCATTTTCCGTGTTTTTTTCGGTACTGACTAGTTTAATCGAGATGGTTCTGCCCATATATATAATAATAAACTCATGATTTTATTAAATTTTTAATTTTACATTTTAATTTTACATTATAATTTTATAATTTTACATTCAGTTCACAGATATCGTATAAGACCACAGTGCACAAAGAAATATAAATGTCACCTTTTTAATAAGGAGAAAAAAATCCCAGCATAAACACTACAATACCGAAAATCAAAGCTCCATTTTCTTTTGGTATCCAAGCAACAAAACAACCGTACAAACATTATAAACCTTTCACCAATTTCCAGCGACCTGCCCACGTTTTTTCGCATGTCTTCTTTTTTGAAATGTTCTGAGCACAAAGAAGTTGATTTTGTGATGAAGAATCCGTCCTTTCCATGCTGGCG